CTTTTTAGAGTTCAGGCACAGTGGCTCACTCCTATATTCCCAGGCAGCTGAGGCAGGAGGGTCACTTGGGCCTAATACTTTCAACAGTGAGACTGAACTCAGGACCCTGTACTTGCCAGGCAAATGCTTATTCTACTAAGCTATCTCCCTGACCCCTGAAGTTGTTTTTAATTACTCGTAATAACTAATGCATAGAATAAAATTGTAGGGGCTGGTGAGATGGCTCAGTGGTCTAAAGCACCTACTTGGAACAAGCTTAGTAAACCACAGGGACTGCGGTTCAATCCCCAGCACCACATGCCAGCCCGCCCCGTCTCCTGGTGGGCTGAGCTGGCCACACACACACACACACACACACACACACATAATAAATAAATAAATGTAAAAAAAAAAAGAATAAAATTGTAGAAAAATACTACCGATGATAATTAAAAGTTATCATTTACCTCTTAACTGAAAGATTCTTAGAAATGTTGCTGAAAAACTTGTTTTCTACATCTTGGCTTTCAGAACTTAGTTCAAAATGGATTAGATTTTTGTCAGATGGTTCCACATTCTGAAATGAAATAAGTAGTAGGTCATAAATTGAGATCTGACTTAAATAAAAAATTCTGTTTAGATGAAAAGTTGCTCCAAAACACTGAGAGGGACTTCTAAGATTTTAATCCTCTTTTATAAAATGTTCACTTGCCCACTTCCCTGCTTTATAAAAAAATGTGAAAATTTAGTCACTTGTATTATGTAATCTACTCAGTAACCAGGGATCTAGTGAATACAACAACTATGAACTGAAGATGCCCTCTAAATAAAGTAATAAATGATATGTGTCTCTAAAATAGAAATGAATTATCTCAAAGTATAAAACAAGATTTGAAGGGAAACACAGGGTTTTTTAGTGGCAGTAAATATTTTTGTTTAAAAAAGTGGCCTTTAGTTTTTGGGCTGGGGAGACAGCTCAGTGGCTTAAGTGTCTGCCTGGCAAGTGGAAGATCCTGAGTTTGATCCCTGGTACAAAAAAAAAAAGTCTTTATATAATAACATTTATACTTTCAAAGATCTGCATTTTTGGTGATCTTCACCTAGATGCATTATGTAACTTATTAGCTATAGCAACAACTTATTCTCACTCCTTGGATATTATACACTGAATTTTAAGTGCGAAAAATCATATATATATATATATATATAATTTGTTATATCTATATATTTAAAATAAGAGAACACTAAAATCACAAAATTTTCAACACTATAGAATGATACAACATATAAACTACTGATATATTTCTCAAAGATATTAGAAAGGTACAAATTATTCTGTGATGAAGCTCTACTATAATTTGGTCCTGGAGATATGGTCTAAAATTTACTAAAGAAAAATTAATCACAAATGAATAAAGTTAATATTCAGTGAGATTGACTCTAAACAAAGTCTAATAGTTTGAAATATTATTTTAAAGGGTAAATACCATTAGGTTTAAACTACTAAAATAGAACAGGAAATATCCATTAATGTACTGGGTAATCAAATCACTTACATTGAAAAGATGCAATGTTTCCTTGCTGGTTAGTGAGCGAAATTGAAGGTCAGCTATCCGGCCATCACAGGGGAGGCATTCGTAATACTCAGGTTCCTTGTGTGTCAAAGAATAGAGAACTATGATGAAATTTCCAGATTCTGAAAAAACCCTGGACAAAAAAGCCATTTAGTTAAAATTTGATGAAGATTACAAGATTATACTCAACCCTTCCACATAAGTTTCCCGATCTAGTTAATAGAATAAGAGTACCATGATTAAAAGAAAATTAAAGAATAAATTTAGGCTTTTTACATTATTGGTAAGAGGGGTTAGAATGGCAAGCAGAAACATAGAAATGACATCCAGGATTTGAAGGCAGATTTATGATCAGGATTCATTCCCAAAGTATCAGGTCCTAATCTCTGGTGGTCGTACATGGGAGAAGCAAACAGGAATTCAGAGGCAGCATGGCTTCTCAGATGGGGATTGGTTCTTACAGTATGCAACATCCATTTTCACTGGGTACTTCAGGCTGGCCTTGAAATCACTATGTAGTCCAGGCTGGCCTCAAACTTGAAGTGATCTTCCTGCCTCAGCCTCATGAGTGCTGGGATTACAGGTGTGCCTGGCCACACCTGGCTTATACTAATTTTTAATTAAAAATGCACTTATTGTGAAACTGTGTCTTTTTTTTGGGGGGGGAGGGGAGTACCAGGAATTAAATCAGGACCTCGCATTTACCAGACAGGCACTTGTGGCCTTGAACTATAGCCCTGGCCCTATGAAATACATATGTCTTAGAAAAACCACCAAATAAAACAGGAATAAGTAAAGCAGAAAATAAAAACTATCCCATCTGATTCACCAAGGCAGTGTATATATACTTTTTAGAGTTCAGGCACAGTGGCTCACTCCTATATTCCCAGGCAGCTGAGGCAGGAGGGTCACTTGGGCCTAATACTTTCAACAGTGAGACTGCATCTCTGTTATGGTTAGTGTTTAAATATCCTGAAAGCTGCATGGAGTCATAAGTGTGGCTTTTTCAGAGATGGCTGAACTTAGAGTGTGTGATGCTGGGATTAAGGGCGTGTAATTACTATATCAGTCGATGATTGGTACCACGTAATCCTGGTAGGCTAGACTGAGTATTAAAGAGGCAGAAAGAAGCTGCTAAGATCCTCTGCCTGCTTGTGTTGCCACCTTTGCACACCATGAACTGTTTTTCCTCTGTAATACTTGTCTGCCAAGCCACCTTGCTTTGGAAACAGCCCATATGGACTGAAACCTCTACTAATTGTGAGCCAAATAAACCTTTTGTCTCTTAGCTTTGAGTATCAGATATTTACTCTCAGCAAGAAGAAAAGTAATTAAGATAATTTCAAAAAAAAGTTACCCAAAATTTTTCCTTAGGCTTTATTATTTGCAACTCTATGTCACTATTCTTTTTTTTTTTTTTTTTGCAGACAAGAACACCTTTTATTTTAAGCCACACACAGTCAGCAGGTGGCCCCAACTATCCATGTTTCATTAAAATCACATAAAACCGAGGTACAAAAGCACCACTGATTATTGCTCTAGAAAAATTGCGTGAAAAATTCAAACCCGCACAGTAAAAGCAGCACAGTACACACAGGACCAC